TTCGCGAAGAAATTGGTAAGCCGTTTTAAGTTTTCTATTTGTAAACCGAATTCAAAGAGAGACAGCTATATAAAGCGTTTGTCATTAATAATCCTTTTGCGCTTCGATGGGCTGTTAACTGTAATGAAATGATTATTCGAATCGTTACAATGTCATTAACTGAAAACCATACTGTCTACCTATGGCTATTACCAATTGCCATGCGAAGCGATATTGTCATTGTTCATGCTTCTGCGCCATATACCAGCACGGGCATGATGCTTGACTTATTGAGTGTGATTTTTATACTACAACAGAGGACTTTACGTCTCAATTGTCTACTCAGTCCCAAGTAACACTTGTTGGCAAGAGTGATTCGTGTCTTTTCCAAGAATTGGCGTCTTGCGAATATCTGATTAATGGTGGATTTGCCAGGTCTAATATCACACTGATTGTGGATTGCGCAGAACACACTTAAAATCCAGTCGTCGGGCATGCGCTCATCTGACCATATTCTGTATAAGAGCTGATGCATGCACCTTATCAGCTCAGTACTGGAACAGCTCGGATAGTAGGCCGTCAGCTCCAGCAGCTTTGTTGTTCTTCAGCCGCGTAGTCGCTATTCGAACCTTATGATAATCAGGTGGTGGAACATCGATTCGATCATCATCGACTGGGGACTCGGATTCGTCTTCTTCAGAACTTTCCATGTTGCTACCATTAAGTAGGATGAACAAGTTTTCCCCCTTAATTTAAGCATGTTCTGGACGTCGGTTACCACATTGTCATTATTTTGTTGCAAGCCCTTTTGTTTGAAACCTTCGTAAGTCGCCTAACTGTTTGGTAAAATTTAACACCTATTTCCTGTCGGCCAGCATTTCAAGCTCTTCGCACTCACGTATTTCGGCCTCTCTCTTCCTATAGCGGCAAATACGTCTCGCCTCCCCTTCTCAGTTCCCTATAATGGCCCCACGCAGTGCACTTTGCGCCCGATCGCAGCGTGGCTCTGTAGGCGGCATATTTTTTCATTGCAGTTTCTTGACCCTGCTCATCGTACCAATTATTTTTTCGGGCTCGCCGAAAACCGACTACTTATTCGGCGACAGTACGCAATGAGAAGGAATTATGGTTCCACTGCTCGCATATGTCGGTTAGTTGAAGAGTTCTCTCTGAGAGCAGATGTGAGAGTCAAGTAGTGAATGCATTGTCCATCTGTCGGGATCGCAGGTTTTCGACGTTGCTCTCCTTGCATTGTTGGGCACACAGATCCTTGTCTTGGCTGGAACAAGAAACTGGTCTAAGTTGATGTTTTGGTTTCTCGCATCTCGATCTGGATACAGCCATGTAGCTTGATTGATCTTTTTATACCACATGCCACCATGTTTCGGGCCCAGCGATGTTGATCAACTTCGAACGTGGAGGCTGAATTATGCGACAAGCGCACAGAGAAGAGGTCCTTCTCTTCGGGCATAGATGAGCGAGATGTTGAAGAATCTCACTTTGATGCGGATGCGAGACTTTGTTGTTATTTTTCATTGGAGCTTGTTTTTGCGAGGTGGGTCCTGTTGCTGGGCATGGCGGTGATTTCCTAACCAAATACTCGTTTATATAGCGAGCCGCTTGCCCCAGAGAGACGCTCCCTTGCAGACGTACCTACTGGTGAAAAGGCGCTGCTGACTTGAGTGAGCCCTTAAATCGAATAAGCCGTAGTGGTCTCACGGAAGCTCCTTCTCTTTCTGCTCCACTCGGACTGGGTACCGCATCTCGCAAATGGGTTGCTCACGTTGCCCAGAGTTCGTGAACGAGAATGCAAGAGTGGAGTTTGGGTATAGTCGTGAAACTGCAGGTGCACACCCAGCACAACGACTATACCCCATTGTACTCCATGACAAAATGGGATATTAAAAAAGAAAAACAGCAAAAGTACTTCCACATCACACACATAGACATGTATATTATAATTTCAACAACTAAGCAATTTATAAAAACTTTGCCATACATATGAATGTAGTATAGGAAATCCTAGAAAAGTTTAATCCAATCGAGGAAATGAAACTTTACTTTTTTATTTCCACATAGTCCATTTATTACTTATATATGTATGTATATACATAGTTAGGTTTTCTAGCCACTATTTGCATGATTTTCGTCACACTGTAAATATAACTATGTTTTAACTAACTCACATATTCACTGCTAAGCAACATGTTTTTTGCTAAGTATGTACTTATTAATTGGAAGCAATCAATGCCAGCTTTAATATTCACGTATAGTTGTATACATAAATATTATCTTAATAAATAAACATCCGCTTAAATTTTACATATTCATTTAATACTTATCATTGAAACTTTCCATTACAGCTCAAACTTTTACTGAGCTTATGGAAAGCTGATTTTTAAGTACACATTTACTTATATGTATATAGTGTTTTTTTTTTATATCAATACTCAAGGTTCTTCACTAGAGCTTTGGTCTAATACTTTGCGTGGTTAAAAATCAAGTAAACAATACTTTCAAATATTTAGCTAAAAATGAAGAAAAAACATAAATAGGTTTGAGATCTACTAAATTTCAACATATTGTACTCGCGTGACTAAGAATATAACATTTTTTTATGAGTATCTAATACTTTGTGTGGTTAAAAATCAATTTAATAGTACTTTCAAATATTTAGCTAAAAATTACAACAAAAAAATAAATAAATCGCTTTGAGATTTACTAAATTTCAACATTTTGTACTCGCGTGACTAAGAATATAACAATTTTTTATGAGTATAATGTACAATTGAATAAAATTATTTTGAAATAAATATGTATGTATGTACATAATATGTATGTTAAAATTTTAGCACACTTTCCTTTATTATGCGAGTATAAAAATTTATTTGCATTTTGTCGATTTTATGTAGACTTTTATGTGCGCACAATGAGCAACGATTTCTTTAGGTTTTTCCAAATATTTTCTACTTATTTTCCTAATGTATGTACACATACAATACATTATACATTCCGGGTGAACATTTCCGTATATGTATATTTATGTATATCTCTGTATTCTTTTATTGTTTCGTTTTTGTCCTTGTGAATATATATATATTTTTTTTGTTCTCTGCTTTTTTCATATTCTTACAACAAAGGATATGTTTTGCATGCTTTGAATGCATGTATGTATGTGAAAATATATACAAGTATTTATGTGCATACATATGTAGTATATGTATGTATATATTTTTTATTATACCCTACAGGAGAAAAATTGTTGAAGAAATGGATATGTATGTTTGAAGAATGTTCAGAATAAGATAAAAAAATGGTTAAACAGGTAATTAGGCAAGGTGAGCTCTTAAGTTTAAAATATGCGATTTTAAGATGACTCATCTTTGTCGTTTGATTGCTACAAGGGCAAGTTTAGCCTTCCGGAAAGACGAGGCTGACTAAAACTACAACAATGGGGGGAAAAATTGTCTTCTTTACTAACACCTTCTTGAAAGTTTTTGTCGAGTCATGAGAGTGAGAGGAATAGGAAATCACATGTATTGATGAGAGTAACAGATGATGGTCATTTTTTGCCTGTGGTCCTAGTAAAAATTTCTACATCGATCTACTAACGAATAACGGCTCATTCTGTCAGAAGTGTCGGTCTTAAATCCCATCAATTGTATGGTAGAGTCCTTACTGGGTTTCTTCTCGATCCGCAAGAGTATACAAAATTTTATTAAGTATTAAACCGAAAACATTTTCTTATTTCGTAAATAGACCAGATGAGAACTGTTGTAGGATTTTAGAAATCATCACGCTTTTCTATTGCTAGAAATCTCTAAATAAATAAGGCTTGATGTCTTTCAACAACTCTGTTAGAGGCGCTGGAATATGGGACGACCGTGGCAAACACGTCTTAATTCTTTGATAGTCTGTGGTCGTAGTTGACAATGGTGACAGATGTTGCCAAACATTTTTTTCTCGCAGACCACTTTCAAAATTTTACAGGTTTCAGTGGACTTGCTGCTGCTACATTTCTTTAATATCCTCAAAACTCGTCACAAATTCTGCGGAATGGATCTAGAGGTGGAAATTTGCGTCTCGCTGAGTTCCAAGTTGGAACTTGCAACTCTAAATTCAGAGTGATAAAAACAAAAAAAAAAATGTATTTTATTTGCTTTAGTTTTAATTGATTTACTTTTAAAACAGAAAAACAACAAACCCGGTTTTTACGCCAAGCTTTCAATTCAGAAACCGGTAAAAGAGAAAAGAATAAATCAATAAAAATCTCTGAGAACCAATCAAGGAAGCGGCGCATCAAATTTAGGGCATAAATAAACGGATTGCTTAATAAGCGCTCTTGCGCTCAACGCTTAAAACAACTGAGCGACGAAAGCTAGATGAACAGAAGAGACAGAACGCTCTTTTATGAGGAGTAATATTTTGAGTGGCGAAAAGAGAACAAATCAAAATTGATTGCTCTTGAAATGAGTTATAGTGAGGAGGAAGATGGGAATTTTATTCCTTGGTGAATATTTTTGAAATGAAACTTTTTAGGCGACGGTATCGCAAAAATGGAGAGTGAACTTTTTAAAACTGAAAATTTTACATTAGTAATAAGGAAGATGTAGTAGAGTGAAGAGGAAAAAAGAAAGAAAGACGTCTATAAAAAGCGTTAGAACAAACATATTCAACGCGCATGCATACGAGTCATAGCAAAAAGAGGGCACTTGTAGATCAACCAAGCAACTATGGCTACAAATAGCGAAGAAAACGACGAAATAGTTTCTCAACCTTTCAAGAAAGAATATTGCAGTAGTCATGGATTATGTAACCAGTTATTGGCTATCTAGTCGACCCTCTTCGAGAGTAGGAACATTTTCCCATGAATATACCAGATGTTGCAGAGATGAGGGAGAGGAAAAACCAGTCGAGCACTTCTTCTGCATTAGCCCAACTTTGGTGAAGAGCAGAGCAAGTTTTTTTTTAGTTAGGCACTTCTTTGGCTCTCTTAGAGAATTAGCCGATGTAGGAATAAAATCAGCCCTACGCTTTAGAAGAGCATCAAAATAGTTCTATGAAAAATAGTCACTGAGGTTCCGTGCTTCGCAGCGGTATCGCAATAGACCTGCAAAGTCTAAGTGAGTTTGTTATCTGACTGCCACACCAACCTAACCAACCTAACCTATACATATACATTGTTTCTGAATAAATAATATTCTGGAGGGAGCAATACACAAAATATACCACATTTTTTAATGTTGCAACCCAATGTACACAGGCTCCGTGGGTATTGTTGATAAAGAAGGCAGCAGTTCAATATGTTTAAAAACTTATTTTCCGTATTTTTTCATATGTAGGGTATAACTTGTATCAACGAAGCTTTAAATACGCTCAGAACTCTATGTATTATATTTAATCATAGCATATAAATGTTCTATCATTTTTCCACATTTCTTTTTCTGAATGTATGTAAGTATGTATGTATATGTATGCTAGTATTCATGCAGGTATTTTATTAGCTTATATCTTTCAAGGCTTTGTCAATTCTGTGGGATTGTCGCGATATTTTGTAGCTTATAAACTGCTGTCTGTTATTCTCGAAAAACTTACTACGATACAGTACCCAAATCCTCGAATTTACTTAAACTATGATTAGTTATGCTCACAAATACATAGATACACATGTATATAACCACAGTATTCTATCATTCTTGTATAGTATCTAGATATTTTTAGCTCTTAGTATTAACTCTAAGTATTACCAAGTATGTATGTACGAGTATTTTCTAAGTTGTGTCTTTACTCAATTAAATTATAATTTCTTATAAGCTAAGCAGTAGTATGTACATTACATGTAATAACATATTTTTGTTTATTTATCTAATTATTTCTAATAACAAACCACATACATCCTACTTACACATATGTATATGTACACATACTTAGACATAATATATTTATTATTGTTTACTTTCGAGCTCCTTTGGTTGCTTTTTTTGTTTGGCTGAGTTGATTGGGTTGCTGGATTTTATTCCTCGCACGTACAGGATCATTCTTGAATTTTGTATGAATTTTTACTTAATTTCTTGCTTATCACCACTGGCTTACATTCTTTCAATATTAACTAATACTCATCGGTGTGTCCTGCTTTCAATTTTGGTAAAGCGTTTGCAGCTGATTCGATGACGCCGTGGCATATTGCCGCGTGCGTATAATGTTCATATGTATTTCGGAGGAGGCGGTCGAATTGATGTATGGCGGTAAGTCAGCGCCCGCACTGACACGACAATTTATGAGGTCGTATGGGCAGCAGGACTGCAAAAAAAAAAATAACAACAACCATGAAATATTAAAGCGGTAAGTGACATATATTGGTGCGGACTAAGGGTGGTGTACAAGCAAACACATACGCATAAATTTCGAAACTCACATACATATTGATATCCCGGCAGTAGAAGTCCCAACTTTTGGGTGAATATATTGAGTAAACAAAGTACTCTGAAGCGTTTTTTTCAATTAGTTATGGTGATTTCATTTTTTTCAAAAAAAAAACACAAACTTTTCTCACGCTTTGTCTTTAATTTAGAATCGCATACGAAAAGAGAAAGAGGCAATCAAAAGACAAAACTATTTGGTAAAACGGAAACCACAATTAATTGGAATTATAACGTAAAGAAAGTTACCCAAACTGGCACAAAAACTATAAACTTGCGCACCGAAAGGAAGTAGTATTTTATTTTTATTTCTCTTAATTGTTATGTTCTCCTTCAGGGATATCATAGCTGAATATATATATAAGGTGTGTCATTTTATAAGGCAAAACATAAAATGAAAACGTTTTCCAGACTTTGTTTACGCCTCAAGTCTCAGTGAATTTAAAAATATATGCAACGGATTTATAGAATTTGTCCCAACAAGTGTTATAAAAACAAGTAAGTGCGCCTGGGCCATACTGGAGAAGTGAAACTTACATACGTTACATATCTATTTTGTCTCATAACCAATATAAATACATATGTACATACAACGGTTTTCCTTAGGTTTATATTTTTTGTATTTTTTCTATCTAGATCCCTACCTCTGCCCTTGTTCGTTCTAATTACAATTATGTTATTCTGTTTTCCTTTATCTTCATTTTTATCTTTATACTCTATCGATAACATAATAAATAGTAATATCCAACATAATAGCGATAACAAAACCGATAAAAATATCGATAACAAAATCGATGACTAATTCGATTCAAATTCCGTTAGCAAAACCGATAATAATATTGGTAGCAAGATCGATTAAAAAATTGATAAAAAAATCGATAAGTATANGTTGTACAAGCAAACACATACGCATAAATTTCGAAACTCACATACATATTGATATCCCGGCAGTAGAAGTCCCAACTTTTGGGTGAATATATTGAGTAAACAAAGTACTCTGAAGCGTTTTTTTCAATTAGTTATGGTGATTTCATTTTTTTCAAAAAAAAAACACAAACTTTTCTCACGCTTTGTCTTTAATTTAGAATCGCATACGAAAAGAGAAAGAGGCAATCAAAAGACAAAACTATTTGGTAAAACGGAAACCACAATTAATTGGAATTATAACGTAAAGAAAGTTACCCAAACTGGCACAAAAACTATAAACTTGCGCACCGAAAGGAAGTAGTATTTTATTTTTATTTCTCTTAATTGTTATGTTCTCCTTCAGGGATATCATAGCTGAATATATATATAAGGTGTGTCATTTTATAAGGCAAAACATAAAATGAAAACGTTTTCCAGACTTTGTTTACGCCTCAAGTCTCAGTGAATTTAAAAATATATGCAACGGATTTATAGAATTTGTCCCAACAAGTGTTATAAAAACAAGTAAGTGCGCCTGGGCCATACTGGAGAAGTGAAACTTACATACGTTACATATCTATTTTGTCTCATAACCAATATAAATACATATGTACATACAACGGTTTTCCTTAGGTTTATATTTTTTGTATTTTTTCTATCTAGATCCCTACCTCTGCCCTTGTTCGTTCTAATTACAATTATGTTATTCTGTTTTCCTTTATCTTCATTTTTATCTTTATACTCTATCGATAACATAATAAATAGTAATATCCAACATAATAGCGATAACAAAACCGATAAAAATATCGATAACAAAATCGATGACTAATTCGATTCAAATTCCGTTAGCAAAACCGATAATAATATTGGTAGCAAGATCGATTAAAAAATTGATAAAAAAATCGATAAGTATACCGATAACAAAAACCTATAAAAATATCGATAACAAAATCGATGAAAATATTAATAGCAAAATCGATAAAAAAATCGATAAATAATCGATAACGAAATTGACAAATTAGCGATAACAAACAAAATCGATAGTAAAATTGATAAGTAATCAATAACAAAATCGTTAAAAATATCGATTTTTATATCGATAAGTTCCGAAAATATCGATAGCAAAATCAGTAACAATATCGATAACAAAATCGACAAAAATATCGATAACCAAACCGATAAAAATATCGACTATTATATCGATATGTCCTGTGAATCCCGAAAATCCCAAAATAGTTCTCAGATTGAGTCTCTGTGACTTTATCTATATCTTCAGGGTTAACAATAAAAGCTGTCCTGACGAAAAAATTGCTTAAAGCAAAAAAAAGTTTGTACCATATATTAGACGCTGAATATAATTATGTTCATAATACCTTAAGCGAATCTTTAAATGTTCGTATTTTTTGGACCTAGTAAACCGGTTTAAAATCTGACCATTTTTGACAAACCTATGCAGCTTGCAATTTAATTTGATATCTAACTCAATTCTGTACTGCTACAGATCGCCCTAACGTCCTAGTATGACTGAGCAACTATATATAAATAAATGGTTTTCCTATTAAGTTTGAACTGCGCGTGGTTACATAGCGTATGAGTAACATTATTTCCTGTTCATATTTCCTTTTCACATTACAGCAAAAAAAAACGATTCATAGAATTTAGCAATCGATAACGCAAAGGGGATGAGTATCCGCGTAGTATTTAGATAATTTCACTCGCTGTACAAAACGATACTCCTTCCATATTGATCCGATGTACGAGGAACAAACCAGCGCTAATTGCAATTCGTGTTTAAATCATTAAGAACATTTCCTGTCAAATTGAATCAGTCTTTATTTGAATCAGTACAACTTTCCGAGCAATACGGTACGTGTTTTTAAGAGGACTTAACGAGGAAATGTTCATTGTAAGTACTTCTGTTTATCTTCTTTTTGAAATTTCGGGCTCAAAGCTCCTTGCAGTTGCTATGAATGAAGTAAGTAATTAATATTCCTCATCCCAAGTAGACTTAATTTTTTAAATATTGGTTTAAACTATATTCTCCAATATTTATTTAACATTTAAAGATTTAAAAAAAACGAGTCAAGTTATGTAACCTTGAACATCACTGAGACTTGGGTAAGGCGCATTGTGCCATCAAATATTTTAAACAATGAAACACCCTTATATACAATAAATGTAGGTAAATATATATTATACTAAGGCCAAATTTCAGATGAAATATTTAAGTAGAGATTGTTGATTAACTTCAACAATTCATTTTCAGATCACATTTAATCTGCACTTAAACGGCCAATATTGGATATTTAAATATGAGATATGCAACCCTGTGTTTGTACCAAACAACCAAGATTGATAGGTAGGTGGTTTTATCGAAATTGCCAAACAACGATCAGCTAGCTCTTCAGCACAAAATGTAAGCAAACAAGCAAATACAACAACAATTTCAAGGAACAAGCAATAGTGTTGCAACTTGTTTGGCATATTTCAATAAAGTTGATTTGAAACCCAATGAAAGTTAAATGGCATTTAAATAGCAATTCAAACTTTAACTTAGATTCCGTTTAAATATTCTTCTGAAATTGGCCATAAGTCAGTCTAAATAAATATACATATGCATACGCACATCTATGAGTACACATAGTACACACAGCTTGTTGGCTGGAAGAATGTCAGAAACGACAGAAAAAAACCCACTTCAAGGGTCAGTTTTTTAGTACTGGTTTAAACTAAGTTGAAACTACTGACCAGTTTTTCGGTGCGAGTTTAAAACTGCTTCATAGTTTAGTTGTTTTGAAGAGCAACACTGTTTTTTCTTTATGCAGATACAAAACTTCAGCCATTTATCTTTACTTTTGATACCATCGCGTTTAAAGTTCTGAAAGTTTACAGTGTTGCCCGACCGAATTGTCCTATGCAAGTGGCGTTTGTTAATTTTCTTATGCACTATTTTCATCTAACGTACACTGGCGGCAGAAATAATAGACTCGTCGTACTTTTAGGAGTTTTGGCTATATTTTTTTAGTTTATTTTATGTTTAATAAAAAGGCCAAGTAGTTATAAAAGCCCAGGTAATTAAACAACAAGATCATATAAATCCGCCTTTCAAACTTTGAACAAAAATTATAACAAGTAATTTTTAAGTAATTTTTAGCAAAAAAAAACCGACTTTAATTCTCATAAAAATATATATATATATATATATATNCCCGACCAAATTGTCCTATGCAAGTGGCGTTTGTTAATTTTCTTATGCACTATTTTCATCTAACGTACACTGGCGGCAGAAATAATAGACTCGTCGTACTTTTAGGAGTTTTGGCTATATTTTTTTAGTTTATTTTATGTTTAATAAAAAGGCCAAGTAGTTATAAAAGCCCAGGTAATTAAACAACAAGATCATTTAAATCCGCCTTTCAAACTTTGAACAAAAATTATAACAAGTAATTTTTAGCAAAAAAAACCGACTTTAATTCTCATAAAAAAAATATATATATATATATATCTCACTGATCACTGAGACACTATCTTACATAAAAAAAAACAAAAAAATATATATTCCGACGAACTGATAACCTCCTCCTTTTTTCGAAGTCGGTTAAAAATTCGACAAATTTTCACCAAATTTTCAAACTTTATATTCAGAATTTTTAGAAAAATTTTTGGTATGCAGTTCTGTAGCCCATTCAGTTTTAGTAAAGTGTGTGTTTTAAGTGGCTAGAAAATACCGCTGATTCTTGAGAATTTTTATTTTGACGATACTAGGCATTCTCTTCCATATAAAAAACTTGTCGAGCACACTTTGTATGAAAAAATGCGTGTCAGCAAAAAATTCTTAAAAATCAACGGTATTTTGTAGCCAAAATGTAATTTGCACTTTATTATACTAAAAGTAAATGGGTTACAAAACTGAATACCAAAAATTTTTCTAAAAATTCTGAATAAAAAGTTTGAAAATTTGGGGAAAATTTGTCG